ATCTTTACTACAAATTGCATCACAATTCGTCAGCCCTTTAGTAGCGAAATAGTATGAGCTGTCTCATTGACAGACAAACAATGACAAACAAGCTGTCATCGGCCCAGATAATGAAAAGTTGCAGCTGTCATTAATTATGTTTTGTTTAATTGTTAGTAGTAAACCGATTTTGATGATTTTTGTCGTATAGAATGTGTTTGTATGTTGTGTTATGTATTTTGATTTCATACTATTATTTTAGAATTGAGTTAGATACTAAAATTTTTAATAAAGTTCATTATTTAATATTATTTCAAATATTTAAAAGAAGTTGTAATTAAATTAAGAAGTAAGAAAGAAGATTGAATAGAAAAATATACAGAAATATGACAGATGACAAAACGCTATAACCGCATGAAGAAAATTAACCATAACTTAATTCAGTAATATTGTCTCTATGTGCCTTCATATAATGAAAGAGTATAAGCTTTGGGCCCTATTATAGAAACAACAGTTTGAAATTAGGCCTAGAATATTCGAAGATGTGGCTTAAAAATTCATTAAAATAAATTATTTGCCAAAGCCAGAAGAAGAAAACATAGCCCAATTCAGTAACTCTGTCTCAATCAGCCAGTATGCAACAGAAAGAGAAAGCAATGGACTCCATTTTGTTAAAACATGACGGTTAGAATTTGGAACAAAATTTTAGATTAAAATTTACCGAAGAATAAGCTGTATGGTCAAGAAACTTTGCCTGTCTACATAAAAATGAAAAAAAGAAGATTGTGACCTGAAAATTCATGGAATCGACTTTATCTTCCAAGTGGCGTTGACCTAGCCTCTCCTAGGCTTTGTCTGTGTGTTCCATATGTTTCAGACATAGCCTGATAGAGGTTACGTTTTGTCCCACTTTCTCAACGGTACATGTCACATGCAAGACAAAGACGGAGATAGTTTGCTGCGGGAACTTCAAGACATCTTTAAATTTAAAGTTTTTATTCTTTGTTTTTTAATATGTGTACGTTATTGACATTATAGAATTTAAACAAATAATAAGTTTTAAAATAAGAACAAGTTTAATCTCAATGATATTAGTGAAAACTGAAAATTCAACAACATAACGAAATCATTTCCTTCCATTTTTCCAATAAAGATACGATTAAAAATAGTCATTCATCTTAAAAAAAATATATATAAAAGTGTTTTACGGGAATAGATATAAAATTTTACATTAAGTTACCAAAAGATATTCTGGAGTTACTTTTAAATAGATTCAATGCATTACTTAAATCACATTTAGTAGGGAAAGCCTAGCCTTTTTTTTGTACCATTGAAAACACCTAATCCTATACAAACATGTTTATACCGTGCGAAGAAACGAACCCGCGACCTTCGGAAGTAAAGCGGTGTGCTAAACTGTTAGAACCCGAGGCCTCGGGTTCTCCCCTCCGATCGATCCCCCATCCAATTCAAATGGGGATCGAAATTACGACGGCCTGAACCGAGGTTCGAACACCTCAGACTAAAGTCATATCCGTCAGGTAGGTGCTGGCCTTCAGCCGCTCCATAAGTCCTTCCGCGGGTTTGGAGTGCCATCTACACTCGCCCCCTATCGTCCGGTGAAGCTGTAAAGGCCAGCTGCGGCCAACAGCATTAGAGTAGTCCGAAAAAAAAACCTGGGGTTCTAACAGTTTAACAAACAAAAAAATACCTTACGTATTGAATTTGTGGAGATTATGACATTGTTTATTAATACATTTAAATATATATTTCGGAACCAGTTAGACTATATTAAAAACGTCAAATGTGTGAGGTTTTTTTTTCGGACTACTCTAATTCTGTTGGTCGCAGGCCTTTATAACTTTACCGGTCAATTCATTGAGGTGTAGTTTGAATTCTAATTTGCCAGGATTTCAAAATGATCTCTCACTAAAAAACATATACAGTTTTTTTATTGTTTAATAGCTGTTACTCGTGACTTGTCCGCGCGGAATAGACCTTTTTTTTTTCAAATAAAAATTCAAAAATAACAAACTAAGTTACTCCTTATAACATTATGTAATGTTAGTAGGTAAAAATCTAGTAAAAACGGTCCAGGTTTCAGAGATTGGCAAGCATAAACAGATAGACAGACTGACCAAAAATGCCAGACAATGCTGGCGCCTATAAAAAGGAAATAAGTAAGAATGTGTTACCTCGGCAGACGATTTTGTGAAAATAACCTAGGTGTTTTAATATTATTATTTGTTTAGCTGATTGTGTATTTAATAATATACCTATACATAATTATTTATTTTAAAATGATTGTATTAAATCAGTTTCTATTTTTAACATTCATTAATTTATTGTCAAATAAATATTCGCGCCATATTTTCATTTCGAGTGCAATGGAATTGGCGCCAAGTCTAAACCAAGATGGCGGGCGGTTGTCAGCTGACGTCATGCAAGTAGGTGCAGCCTAGTCGCCGTGTTACCCTTGACATGGCTTATGACCTTGTGTTACTTGAAACTAAAACTGGATGGAATTGAATATTTATATAATTAGCAAGGTCTAATAAGAAATAAAAATGTACTACAATGTAACAATCTCACTGTATGTTTTATTTTTTTACCTCTAATCATTTTATTTTCAAATATTTTTAAAATTATTTTTACGGCCCTGGATATTTCCTTTCAGCCAAACAATTATACACATACAATATAGCTATTATGTATTTACTAAGTAACTACTAGAGCTTCCTTATGGTACTGAGGATGAAGTCTATATACATATAAGTAGATAAATTTCAGATCAGGGATACCAAAACAAAATATTATACCTGTAAATAAAAATTGATTTATTAACTAGCCAACCCGACGTTTATATCAGACATATTTCGCAATATTTCACTCAATTTACACAATATCTTTTTTAATTACAGCCTATGTGTTATTCTGATGTAAAAGCTATATTGTAAAGTTTCATCAAAATCTGTTCAGTATTTACGTGAAAGAATAACAAATCCATCCATCCATCTACCCATCCATACTCAAAAACTTTCGCAATTATAATATTAGTAAGATTTTTGTAAGTCAAAATCGAATACATTTTTTATAGCATAGGGTAAAAACGAGCATGCTGCTCAGCTGATTGTAAATGATTACCGCTTCCTATGTGCACCCACAACACAAGGGGACTTTGCAAAATTGTACAAGGTTGAAGATATTCTCGTATCTCGTATTTAAGACCAAAAATCATGATTCTGTATGAAGATTCTTTAGTATGAACAGCAGCAACTGTTAGGCGCCCTGAGTATCATAGTTCCCACAAACATTTAATTATCCATACATAGTAAAACAAAAAAAATAATCGGGAAAACAGTTATAGGCTCTCTAATGCCTGGAATCCAGTGATTGGTTTAATTAAACAAAAACAAAAAACGCGATCGAAAAGTGTATTAAATGTACGTAAAGATACTGTGAGTACAGTTTGCCGAGATGAATATCGAGCGAGTTCCAGTAGTAGCAACAAACGAAGACGTGTGAAGGTAGACGCATATGTCTGCCCATAAAAGATTTCATTTTCCATCTACCCGCTGCTCTTCAGTTTACCCGTGATCATGGCGGTTGAAACGCTGCCGAAATATCGGGAACTCAATAAATATAAAACGTAGTAAGATCCCGTGATTTTTACTAATTATACGTATAAAAAATAAAAATAGAAAAGTTTCCATTATGTATAAATAACACTGGCAGGTAAACAAAAACAAATTATTTGTTTCCTTCTATTTTTTTCGTTTCTACTCTCTCACAGTTTTTGTTTTTGATTTCCAGCTAACTCCCCTCATTTACTATGTTCAACTTAGATTCACGTTTTTTATTGGACACCGAAATATATTTTGCTGTTGTTTTCGATATGGCTTCGTCAACAAGATGTTGTGTAATTAATACCGATTTTTTTACTATATTTGTGGTGAATATGCATTTATTTAATCGAATTAGGTGTTATTTTGCGGAAGGTTGGTAGTTTGTATTCACACGTTTCGAATTGTATAATGTGAACTTACAAGGATTATTTAAAAGTGCAACACGTAAGTTTCTTGCTCGATCTTGACGTTGACGAGACAGTTTTCCGAATGAGCGGTAGATTAAAAAAAAACATTGTTATGACTATTTAAAAGTGCTTAAAATAAGTTTGTTTGAATAAATAATTTTCTATTCTATTCTATTCCATTGGTTATTTGTTACATTCTTTTTAAACCCTAAAGTTAAGAATCTAATTCTGAAACCAAAGCATGGGGCACTTGTAGGAATTTGTTATAGGTTAGGCTGATTTAATCCAGCTCTGACTAGAATATTAATCTCTCGCAGGCTATACAAAAGGATACACGTATCTTTACAAAGGCTTTGCTTTGAAAACCTGTTTCAATGCCGAGATATGGTGTCCGGTAGTAATTATAATAACCCTGGACAATGCACATAGCGCCATCTAGTCTCGAGGTAAGCAAAGCTTATGATATGGGTATGTATACTAGACATATGTACTAGACAACTGATACAAATACTTAAATATTATTTTTTTGACAATGCATAGGAAACACCCAGCCCGACGCGAACAAATATATTCATTTATTCATTACAAATGTTTGTACAGTGCGAAGAATCAAACCCGCGACCATTGAGACGGGAAGAGACGTTAAGATATTACCCGCGACTACGTGGATTTTTTTTAGAAAAATAAATATTCTATAATATCTTCTAAAATAAAAGTAGCATAAGTTACTCCTTATAACATTTGCTATCTGCGAGTGAGGTCCCGTCAAAATCGGTCCCAGCCCTTTCAGAGATTACCAAGAACAAACATATAAACAACTTCTTCGATTTTATATATTTGTAGGTAGGTATAATTTTTACTTAGGTCTTCTTAATAATAAATAAAAAATAATACCATTTTCAGTTAGTTTAAATATTTATTAGCGTCATTGGGCAATATATCGATATATTATCGACATTTTATTCAAACAATATAATCCTAAAAATAAATAAGTATAAAATTACTCTTAACACTAAAGACGTACATAAACGGGGGAGTTTTGTGTTTATTTTACTCTATTAAAATATAAAATACTATAATAAAAACATATCCTTACGTAGAAGTAAGTTATTAAAGGGAAGTTATATTAAAGTGAAACGTAGGAATGAAGATCATATCCTAAGGACGGTGTTACATATGAATGTGGATGGTTATAAGGGTAGAGGAAGACCGAAAAAGAGATGGATGGACTGTGTGAAAGATGATATGGTGAGAAAGGGAGTAAATAACGGAATGACTGCGAACAGAGATGACTGGAAGAGAAAAACATATTACGCCGACCCCAAATAAATGGGATAAGGAAGAAGCAGATGATGATGATGATATTAAAGTGAAACTTCTATATAGATTTTGAGCGTAACTGAAAAACAATATCCTAGTATTAGAATTTTTCAGTCATGAAAAAGCGTTATTGTTGCGTGACGTGACGATATATCATCTTGTAAGAGAAAGAGAGAAAGGCTAGTGGCGGCGGAGAGACAACGGTCAATTGAAGTATCACTTCTACTTGTGCATTCCTTTTTTTATAATGGATGGTAATGGAATGGTGCACCCGCCTGCGCTAACGGTATACGCTGGCGGGGCACCAGTGGAGGATGATTAGATGAACATAGGGTCAGGTCAACTGACGTGACCCTATGTTCATCTAATCTTTATCACTGTGGCCTAGTTAGGCCACAGTGATAAAGATTCACTAAGAATTTAACATGATGGTTTCCATGGAGAGCCGCGTGCAGGTCAACCTGACATGGTTATTAATCCACATTACTAATAAGCCGTTTTCCCCCCAGGGGGAGGGTTCGGAAAAGTAAGAGAAAAAGAGCGAGCACAATAGATCTATGCAGGTCGCAGTGCTACAGGTCCAAGAACCTGACAAAAGCCCAAACGACCCAATAAAAAAAATGGTGTGAATAATGTCCGCGGCGGACAAACGCGGATTAAAACTCCCCCGCGTACATAGACCAGTAATTTAAGTTAAGTAGTGGACACTTCGCGAGATTTTGACGAAAAAACAAACCAAAAACGTCTATACATTTGACTAATATATTTTTTATAAAACTCAACTTATATGCTAAATTAATAAAGATCGTTTTTGTTTGTGTTCGTTAATAGGTCAAAAAGGTCGCGTTCCATAAAATAGACAGATACTAACTATTTTAATTTAACAATACTTCAGAAATATTATAAAGATTTGTGCTAAAAATGGAGTTTCCACATAAATTTTGAAATTCAGCCAAAAGTTGGAACATATGTATTATAAAAATAAACATGTAATTAAATTAAAATATACTTATTAAAGGTCTTAATATACTTATAACTCCTCTATCCTACAAAATATTTACATAAAAATATTAAAATGATTAATTAAATTTTAAAATAAATACTAGGAAATGTTCCTATTATAGGTGGCAGCACCATCGCTGAACTACGAACTATTAAATTGCACTTTAAATACACACACGTGACTTTCTTTTATCAACTAAAATATTCTCTAGAAGAAGTATACAATAGTGTTGACATAATATTTAAAGTATCAATACAGTCCTTAATTTTAATAAAGTCAGTATCACAAACTAGTCAATTTTAATATAACTTCCATACGGTGTGTTGATTGTTTGTGGTCCAGAATTGTAATATGGTTTTGCACCTAAAATATTATGCGTGTCAACTCCCAACGGCGAGCTACCTCGATTCCAATCGGCTGCAAAATAAAATAAAAATATCAAACGTTATGCATTTGTATAGCGCCATCTGTTGTGCAGTAGAAGAAGTAAAACATATGATGTTATCACTAAAATTTAGAAATATAAGTATTTAATTGATGAGTATATATATATTATTTATACTTAAATTATTTAAATATAATTTTTATAAAATCTTGTTAGATGATTCCCATATAAATTTCAGTACAATAAAAATTGTGTAAAGCGACATCTAGTATGAAATGCTACTATTAAATCACACGAATTCAATAGCATGCGCTACTCAATCAGTTTAAGCTATTCGCCAATAGATGGCACTATTTGATAATAATTATGAATGAGAATACTATTAAGAGAAATTATATAAATTACATGAAATGTACTCACATATGTGTTCATCAGTGGATACGTGACCGTTGTGGATGTGCAGGTGTATCTCTTTCTGATGCGGCTCCCAGCCCTGATGACCATGATGACCGCCCTTACTAGCGAACAGCGCCCCCAACTAGAATTGAATGAACAAAATGTTTATTTAGTACCACGTAACAAATATTATGATACCTATACAACTATTTTTTTTTTATCTCAGGACAATTAACACAGCGCCATCTAGACCCACGTTAAGCTACCTAAAGCGTGTGTTATGGGTACTAGATAACTGATACAAGTACATAGATATTTTTTTTTCGTAAATACATACATATTAAACATGGAAAACACCCAGACCGATACAAACAATCATACTCATGAATACAAATGTTTGTGCCGTGCGAGGAATCGACCCACCATCGGACGTAAAGCGGTGTGCTAGACCGCTATACCACCGAGGTCGTCTACAACTACATATTAATACTTATTTAACAATGCAAGTAAGAACTGATTTTTGTTCAAATTAATCTAATGCTGCTAGTCCCAACTGGCCTTTACAGCTTCACCGGACGATAAGGGCCCAGTGCATATGGCACTCGTTTCGAACCTCGGCACAGGTCGTCGTAATTTAAATTCCCGTTTCATTGGGTTATGCCTCTTAACATAATTTTAAAAATAAGACTTAAAGACAAAATGCTATTCCTAAATATGGTCCAGGAAAATAGAAATATTTTTAAAAGAATTTGTTCGGAGGACCGCCCCCTCCGATCGATCCCCCGAGGACCGATGTTACGACGGCCTTAGCCGAGGTTCGAACCCCTAGTGGTGCCCTCAGACTAAAGTCGTATCCGTTAGGCGGGAATTGGCCTTCAGCCGCTCCATAAGTCCGCGGATTTGGAGTGCCATCTGCACTCGCCCCCTATCGTCCGGTGAAGTGTAAAGGTCAGCTGTGGCCAACAGCATTAGAGTAGTCCGAAAAAAAAACCTTTACCACTAAAAGTGATCCTTTTTTTTAAATACATAATCTATTACAGTATTACATAAAAGAGAGAAGAAATATACAATCTCTAATAAGTTAGAATTAAGTTTGTATAAAAATGTTTTGTTTGTAAACAAGAAAAAATAAGACTATAATAAACAAATAGTTACTTGACTAATAAAATGATTCAGTCGTAGTGATCAGAACAGACCAGTCTCTACAAGCAGCACAGGTGAGTTATATCACAGACTAGCTGTACCCGCGACTTCGTTCGCGTGGAATTTTACTTTATTTTTATAAAATAAAAATAGCCTAAGTTACTCCTTATTACATCAGCTACCTGCCAAGAAAAGTCCCGTCAAAATCGGTCCAGCCATTTCAGAGATTAGCCGGAATAAACAGACAGACAGACAAAAATTGTAAAAAATGTTATTTTGTTGTTTATACCGTATTTACATTCATATGCATGTAGTAAAAAACGGTTATTTCAATATTACAAACAGACACTCAGATTTTATTTATATGTATAGATTACATTACATACTTATATGTTTAAGATGAATATTTTCTTTAGATCTTTTAGTGTTGTATGTTCTAATTATTATTATACATACATTAAAGACATTACAAAGTGTAACTAACACAAATACATCCGTCTCGTTCACTCCATATTGCGAAATAGTGACATCCTTATCTCGCAATTGGACCTTAGAAAGCCGCTTTCTCCCACTGACCACATGATATCATACAAGTGTAGATTGCTTTATAATCTTTGTATTGTTACGACAGATATTATTATTTTAGGGTTTCCATCTTGAAATTATATTACAATTTTTTATTAATATATTATTAGTAGGTAGGTACATAGATTTTAGAAGAAAGTTATCTAATCCATCACATCTATACATATAAATAAAATTGGAGTGTCTGTTTGTATTATTGAAATAACAGTTTTTTACTACATGCATATGAATATAAATGCGATACATACACAAAAATAACATTTTTTACAATATTTGTCTGTAAAAATTTCTATATTACAAACAGACACTCCAATTTTTTTTATGCACCTGTCTTCGCAAAGTACATGTATTATATATATATAACCTTCCTCTTTAATCACTCTTATTTAATGGCCATAAAAATATACAATAAAATCCCCCGTCACTTTAAAGAATTGACCATAAATTCTTTAAATACCAATTCCGGAATTGGCTAATTGACAATTGTTTTTATACCATAAATGAATTTTTCACTAAAAGCTAGGAGTTATATGTAGAATTATTAGATAATATAATTAATGAATGTGGATGGATGTAAAGGAAGGGGACGCCATAAGAAAAGATGGATGGATTGTGTGAAAGATGATATGAATAAAAGAAGAGTATGTTCAGATATGACGACCAATAGAGAGCAGTGGAAGAGAATGACATACTGCGCCGACCACAAATAATGGGATAAAGGCAAGGCAATGATGATGATAATTAATAGTATTGTTTGATATATTTGAATAATATTGATTGACACCCAACGAAAATACCTATATTTGACATATAATTTAAATTCATTAATTCTATTGTATAATTTGTATATTACTAAAAGTTTGCAAAAACATTGGCGAAATATGTGGACAATTTTATTAATACTGACATTCTTTTAATATTTATAACATATTTCATGGAAATCATTTCATTTCATTTCTCTCAATAAAAAAACCGCTTCAAATTTCATTGCGTAGTTTTAAACATTTAAGTATACATAGGGACAGACAACGACAGCGACTTTGTTTTACACTATTATACATATAGTATATGTATAATAGTGTAAAACAAATGTAGTAGTATTAGTATGTAGTAGTAGTATGATATACATCCATATTTATAAGACAATAGGTTACGCGTCTTAAAAAAGCTAATTTCTCTTATTATAATTCAGTTGTTCTTCTCTTATGACCTAAAAATGTGCATTCACTGCGTCACGTGGTTACAACAAACCAACGAAGATGGCGACTGATAATGTAATAGGTATAGCATCTATCTAACGACGTCATATCCTGGAGCTAAAACACCGGCAGTAGCTCTAGGAAGTTTCCAAAGGAAGCCCTTCTACATGATATCTGTTAAATCATATTTACTGAGCAAAGCCTATTACTCACTAAACGATTACTTGAATGACGAGCGTGCATGGCAATAGTTGTTCATGCACGGGATTTTCATTTAATGTTAGACATAGACAACTATATAAATATACATTGTAAATAAACTGGCTTTTAAAAAAAAGTAATTCAATTGAGTTTCATGCCAGTTCTTCTCAATTGGATATATACTGAAGTGGACGTTAGGGAAAAAAATATATACAGTGGACCCGCGGTAATCTGGCCCCTGTCTAATCCGGCCCCCCTTGTAATCCGACATTGTCTATTATTTGTTATTGAATATTACTTTGACAATATACTTCAGAGTGCATATACATACATAAATATATAACATAGAATCTTATCACTGGATCTGTAATTTGTCGGATTACAAGATACTCTTTTGTAAAAAATTCCGGACTATAAGCAGGGGACCCTTAAGCAGCACTCTATAATCCGACAAATACGATGGTCCGACACTGCCCTGCAAAACGTTTGTCGGATAACCGGGGGTCCACTGTATATGTATATAATATAAAGAATCATCTATAATTTGTCGGATTACAAGGTACTCTTTTGTAAAAAAATTCGGACTATAAGAGGTCTTAGGCAGTACTCTATAATCCGACAAATTCGATAGTCCGACACTGCCCTGCAAAATGATTGTCGGACTACCGGGGGTCCACTGTAATGTAAAACTTGATTTCTTGATCTTGAAGCTGCTAAAATGTCCTACATGAGTAAATGATTTTTGAATTTGAATGACAGCATCAGAGAACAGACTCGCTCATAGTCCTGGGACTGATCGCAAATGTACTCAGAGAAAAAATAATCTACAGCAGGAATGATAAACACACGGCCCGCAGACCGTTTGCGGCCCGTTACATGTTTTATACGGGCCGCCAAGCATTTCTAAAATTGAATTTACTTTTTCGGCTTTCTCTCATTAATGTATTGTTATAAAATTAATTATAATAAAATAGTAGTACATACTAAACCGAAACATTTTTTTTCTGTCGACTCACTTGTCGGCGACTTGTTCACGCAATACCAACGCGCCGCGTCTGAGTGAGTTTTTATTTTGTACTAGCTGTTCCTGCGATTTCGTCTGCGTGGAATTTAACTTTATTTTTCTAAATCAAAGAATTTTTCTAAAATAAAAGTAGCCTAAGTTGCTCCTTATTAGATCGGCTAAATAATAGAAAAGTCCCGTCAAAATCGGTCTAGCCATTTCAGAGATTAACCGGAACAAACAGACAGACAGACAAAAATGGCAAAAAAATGTTATTTTGGTGTATGTATCGTATTTATATTCATATGCATGTGGTAAAAAACGGTTATTTCAATATTACAAACAGACACTCCAATTTTATTCATATGTATAGAAAAAAACTGTATATATGAAACCATTACTTTTTTTAGTTTGTAATAAATAAAGTTTTGTAAATGATTACAGGTTTCAGTAATAGATAGAGTGATTCAAGAGGAAGGTTTATATGTATAACACATGATTATTATAGTATGGAATATTATTATAATATAACATAGTATAAAACAAAGTCGTTGTCGCTGTCTGTCTGTCCCTATGTATGCTTAAATCTTTAAAACTAGGCAACGTATTTTGAAGTTGTTTCCCTACAGAATAGCATCATAGCTTTTTTAATACTGCCTTGTATGTGTGGCCTTTAAGGGCAACAAAAATTATTTTTCTATCTATCTATATTGTTAACGTGAGGTTAGTTAAAGAATGCATCCGCAACTGCCCGGTCATTGTCCTCGATATGCAAGTTATATTAGTTTTTTTGGGCTTTTGTACTTTGGACGGTAAAAAGTGACCATGATACTGTCACGGACAGACTGTGGTTGTGTGTCACGGAATATATAATTTGTTCTTCTTTATACCTACTTTAATAAATGTAAGCTTGAAGTTTTATATACATACTAGCTTCCCCGGCTTGGCACGGGTGTACAACTGTACATGTATTATACATATAAACCTTCCTCTTGAATAGAAATAGAAATAATCTTTATTCAAATAAACTCATTACAAGCACTTTTGAATAGTCATATTTTGATTCTACCGCTCATTCGGAATGCAGATTCATCACAAGAAGAATGAGCAAGAAACTTGTGTGTTGCTCTTTTTAATAGATGTTTTTTTTTATATAAATAATTACAGTGTAACAAGTAAGAGGCATGCGACAATCAACATAGAAATCGCTACGCACTCATTATTAGTGTAATCAGATAATATTGTTAGTGCTATGTATTTAAAATTTTTCTACAAAAACAATATTATCGTTAACAAATTCTTCAATTGTATAGTAAGCTTTTTTGCAAAGGAAGTGTTTTATTTGACATTTAAATCTTTTTTCTGGCAGATTTATAACCGACTCTGGTATTTTGCCTTACGCAATTGCCATAAAACGAATTACTAACTTTAGCCAAACGACATTTAGGTAAAATCAGTTTGTTATTGTTACGTAAGCTTTTATTAGTGCAATCACTAACTCTTTTGAAACTGTCTATATTCTTCCTGGCATACATGATATTACCCTATCTATTAAAAAACCGCTTCAAAATCCGTTGCGTAGTTTTCAAGATTTAAGCATACATAGGGACAGACAGCGACAGCGACTTTGTTTTATACTATGTAATGATACTAGCTAACAACGCGACCTCCTTTCCGCCTCAAAATTGAATATGTCAAAGGTTTTTTGAGTTTATTTACGCAATAAATTTCTGAACGCATCCTGTTTTACAGTTATCAGCCGTTTGTATGGGAAAATAGAATTGTTGTTTTCACTACTTTAAATGCAATTTCTTCATATTTTATCACCGTTTAATCCTTTCCTGGACTTCCACTAATATTTTAAGACTAAAATTAGCCAAATCGGTTCAGCCGTTCTCGAATTTTAGCGAGACAAACGAACAGCAATTATTTTTTATATATATATAGATATATCGAAATCCGGTAAGATTTTTAGGATTTGCCTGTAGATTTGAAGGACATTGGAAATTTATCACTATTCAAAAATAAATTAAAATTATGAATACTATAAAAAATTTATTATAATTTAGACCAATATTTTTTTATGAACTGTACTTATGTTCAAACACAATTGTATTATTGTTTTATGAATAAATGACTAATGATTGGACCAATTCATAAGAATATATTTATATAAATACATGCCAATTTATTTTATGGATGATAATGATCATTCGGTTGCTTTTTCCTTTTTTGTAGATACTGTTTTATATAAATAGAACAATTATGAATTACGTCCTGAATCGAGGTTCGAACCTCTTGCCTCTTGCACTCAGACTAAAGTCGTATCCGTCAGGCGGGAGTTGGCATTCAGCCGCTCCATAAGTCCTTCCGCGGGTTTGGAGTGTCATCTACACTTACCTTCTATAGTAAACTATAATTTTATTACCTTCGCTGCTCCAGCCACTAGTAACAGTTTGAGTATAACGACAGCTACTATTAGAGTCTTGACTCCCACCAGAGCGGCAACCACCGCCCACGTGGATGCTGCGCCTATCTGGAACAGTACCGGCAGTAAAGCTCCCATCATCTTCTTAAGTGGTCGGCCGAATGTTCTCCCTGGAAAGATATGGAACGTCACATTATACATACATTATATTTTACTTTTAATATGATTTTTTTTAAAGAAAAACATATTGGCTACCTTTGTTGATATAAATACACATTTACACATTTAACATACATATATATTATAATTATTTATATATACACACGCAAAACAATGAAAAAAAACATCTATAATATTTATATATCTATAAGGTTGGCATTATTTTATTTCACCCCTTAACATTTTTACAAACCTGAAATGTCACATACTTTTTTTTAACAGCCTAATAAATAAGTTTCAAGATTCTACCTATAAAAATGACGATACTACAACCCGTAAGGGGTTTAAGAGAGAGATGAAGAAGGGTTGTAAGGGTTGAAAAGGGAGGTGGAGGGTTCTGTGGAAGTATCGTAATTTTTAAAGGTAGGTAAGCTAGAAACTTAGTTTTTTAGGCTGTTAAAAAAAGTATATGACATTTCAAGTTTGTAAAAATGTTAAGGGGGTAAAATAAAATAGGGGATGAAAGTGTGTATGGAAATTGTCATTTTTAAGGACAATGAATGTTTTTCTATGGCTTTTTTGGGTTAAATTATTAAATCTTTTTTCTTTATTTGGTCAAAGTCACTATAACACGCGGACGAAATCGCGGGCACAGCTAGTATATAATATTATATGATATACATTTATATTAAACCTACTAAAGTTTTACTTATATCACAGATAACATAATGCTTATATTAAATCTATGAGCAAGCCAGAGAGAGATCAAAATTCAAATTCAAAATATCTTTATTTATGTAGGTCTATTACAGACTCTTATGATATGTCAAATCTATCATCAGTACGGTGTGCTTTCGAGCTGAGAAGAACTAACAAGAAACTCAGCTCGTATTCTTTAAATAGAAATAGAAATAATCTTTATTCAAATAAACTCAATATAAGCAATAGTCATATTTTTTTATTCTAAATTTTATATCCAACATCCTTACCAATCTCTGTGATTAGCAGAATCTCGTGCAATTGTGTACCTTTGCAGTTAGACTTAAAGTCAATATTTGATTACAATCATATTTAAAATGTACTGCAAATGTTTGTCTACAATATTTGCATCAAACATTAGATGAACATACAGTTGACGTAAGTAACACATAATTACAAATTAACATAGGAAAATGAGATTCCTGTTAAGTTTACTGTTTGTCTTCAACAATGTTATATTATATATCTTATATATAAAATTCTCGTGTCACAGTTTTCGTTCTCATACTCCTCCGAAACGGCTTGACAGATTCTCATGAAATTTTGTGAGCGTATTGAGTAGGTCTGAGAATCGGCCAATATCTATTTTTCATCCCCCTAAATATTAGGGGTAGTCCACCCCTAAATTTTTATTTCAAGGTAAAACAACTTTGCTTGTCAGCTAGTATAATATATATTATAATGTGTACAACATATTTACATGGTAAACAAAAGAAAAACTATACAATATAAATTATTACATAGTATAAAACAAAGTCGCTGTCGCTGTCTATCCGTCCCTATGTATGCTTAAATCTTTCAAACTACGCAATGGATTTTGAAGTGGTTAATTTTAATAGATAGAGTGATTCTAGAGGAAGGTTTATATGTATAATACATGTACACTCGAGCGAAGCCAGGGGGGGTAGCTAGTATTAAATAATATTTACCTAAAACTCTTTCTTAATGACATTTATAGAATTTCTAGGTCAGTTCACATAGCGCCACCTAGTCCAGTCCCAAGATAAGCTATGGCTTATCTTGGGACTGGACACAAGCTCTTGTGTTATCGTTACTAGATAACTGATATAAATAAATAGATACATTTTTTTACATACACAATATACATAGAAAATAGTCAGACCGATACAAAAAAGCTACTAATGAAAAAAAAAATTTGTACCGTGCGAGGAATCGAAGGGTATTACTATTGGAAGCAAAGCGATGGGCTAAACCGTTAGACCACCAAGGATCATTTATTTTATCTATGTGAATATACCGCGGTATAAATTTTGATTGATAACATACTGCAAATATAAGAGATGCCTTCCCACGATTAATAATATGAATCCGCTTGACAATATGACCTCTCGTATGAACTCATAACCTTCAAACATGCTAACGACATGTAAAAGTGTTTAATTGAACAAAAAAGCAAAATGATAGACGCTTTCACTAGTGTAATACTTAAATTACACTTATTTAAGGTCACGATAAATGTATTATTGTTAAGAAAATCTAGTTTTAATAGCGTTAGGGTTCACATCGATATTGTCGAAAATCTGATATTTTATATTAAAAGGTTCATTATTACTCGGTATCGTTAAACTAGTTGCATATAACCCCCACTCATATCTTCTCTGTATAAAAGGGAGGGTTTTTGTAGCGATCGATCTCCCGTCCAATTCAAATGGGGATCGAAATTACGACGGCCTGAGCCGAGGTTCGAACCCCTAGTGGTGCCCTCAGACTAAAGTCGTATCCGTCGGGCAGGAATTGGCCTTCAGCCGCTCCATAAGTCCTTCCGCGGATTTGGAGTAGCATCTGCACTCGCCCCTAACGTCCGGTGACGCTGTAAAGGCCAGCTACGGCCAACAGCATTAGAGTAGTCAGAAAAAAAAAAAAAAGGCCGCGGCCTTCGGTCCTTGTGCACAGGACGTGCTGGTTGTATTTTAATTGCTAGAGACATAGTTAAATTAATGTTATATAGTTGTTATTTTATTATAATACATACTTTTACTAGTACATAGAGTTGATATATCTAACAATAGTGTTGGAAAAGAAACGTTGTCATATTAAAAATTGTCCTTAATTCATAAATAATAAATAGCCCTGGACAATTTATACAGCGCCATCTAGTCCCATGTTAAGCAGAGGTTGTGTTATGGGTACTAGACAACTGATATAAATACTTAGATCTTTTTTTTGTAAATACATAATACATAGAAAACATCCAGACAGATATAAACAATCATACTCATGAATACAAATGTTTGCAAGTATTTTCACTATTACAATTTCTTTATATCTCAATCGACAGGGAATTCATCCCCACACACTAGAACCTAAGTGGTCTCGGACAGTGCTGTTTCAGAGGAGCTTCCTCCCGCGTACACTTACATTGTGGAAGGAACTACCTGCTGTGATTTTCTTGAGAGACTACAGCATGTGGTATTTCAAGAAGGGTACATTAAGGTTTCTTAAGGGTCGGAAACGCCCATGTAGCACCCCTAGTGCTTCAGGCGTCCATAGGCTATAGTAACCATATACCATCAGATGGGCCGTATGCTTATTTGTCACCATAGTAGTATAAAACAATATATAACTATTGACCATCGTATCTTCTATAACTTTCAAGTTAAATTATTATTAATTTGAAAAGAAAGTTGGTAGATGTAGAATTTATTGATTGTTATTAAAAAACAAGAAACCTTCATTGTGACTAATTATTTAGATTTCACAATTTATGACCACAGAACAAATACGCCCACAGATGGAATAAATATTTTCTTTTTGAGTTTCTCTCTTTAGGATTCTGTAGATTTTAAACCACACTTAGACAGACAGGGTTATTTTATACTATGTATAAAATAACCCTGTTTATACTATGTATAAAATAACCCTGTCTGTCTATGTATGGTTAAATCTTTAAAACTACGCAACGGATTACAAAGCGATTTTTTTAAATAGATAGAGTGATTCTAGAGGAAGAAAGAGTGATTCTACTTCTACACCCGAGCGAAGCCGTGGCGAGTTTTTTTTTTGTGAATGATAGTGGAAAGGTGCACCCGCCTGCGCTAACGGTTTACGCTGGCGAGGCACCAGTGGAGGATGATAAGATGAAAATGAGGTCAGGTCAGTTAGCTCATCGTGACAAATTCATTAGGAATTTATCACGATGGTTTCCAGGTGGAACCGCGTGGAGGTCGACCTGACATGGTGCATTGCTAGTAATGGGGTTATAAGTCCACATTACTAACAATCCCCTTCCCCCCCCCCAGCCGTGGCGAGTAGCTAGTATTGCAATGCAACAATCAAGGCATATATCATAATATTGAACTATATTGAACTTGGCTATCATTTCACATTTATCTTTTTGATGAGTTAGCTCACAGTACTTACCCAAGTGAGTCATACAATATGTTTTAAGTAGACTCCAACAGATTCCAACAGACTGACCCAACCTGTGGTGTCGTGAGTAATGATTTAATGATAATAACAGAAATAGAAAGTAACGACTTTGCCACGGTCATCATATGACCATTCAAAAGGCAGGTGCCATAATTTGTTTGTGGTTTCTACAAAAAAATTAAGTGAGACGAACTTCTTAACATTCCATCGACAATCCATCGTGTGGCAGAGATGGAAACTCCGAGCAGTTCCCGTAGATGGGCGGGTGTAGGTTTTTTTTGTATATAATAATGAACTGTTTACGCAGGCGGGGCACCAGTGGAGTATGATAATATGAGCATGAGGTCAGGTCAGGTCACCTGGTATTTATCACGATGGTTTCCAGGGGGAACCGCGTGGAGATCATAATATTAATACTAGATTTAAAGACAAACTTGCTGTCCCCAAGTATCGTTTAGAAAAAGTCAATAGGTCTTTTATGGGAATAGGTATAAAAATTTACAATAAGATACCAAAGGATATATTGGAATTACCCTTAAATAAATTCAAAACATCTGTTAAATCATATTTACTGAGCAAGGCCTATTACTCACTAAACGATTACTTGAATGACGAGCGTGCATGGCAATAGTTGTTCATGCACGGGATTTTCATTTAATGTTCCACATAGACACCTATATAAATATACATTGTAATTAAACTGGCTTTAAAAAAAAAGTAATTCAATTGAGTTTCTTGTCAGTTCTTCTCAATTGGATACCGAACTGGACGGTAGGGAAAAAAAAGTATAATGTAAAAACTTGACGTTCATAAGCGGCTATGAATAAATGATTTTTGAATTTGAATTTGAATTTGATCAACC